CTGCTTGAAGAAGATGGAGATGCATTTGTTTTCCGCTCTTGGAGTGAACGGAAAATCCCTCTCTCGTCCAAACGCTTTTGACCTTGCAGTCCCCGCCCGCTCCCACTCAATCTAGGGGGGAGGTCCATAAACAAGATCAAGAGATGTTGAAAAATGGCATCATCGAGGACATTAACCGTGCGCACAACTCCTCGATCATGGTTGTAAAGAAGGCAAACGAAAAATACCGACGTTGCGTGGATGTATGGCGTTTGGATGAACTGGCCGTAAACCGAATTATACCGGAGATTTCCGATTCACTCCAACACACCTAACTTGCGCTCGGGATACTGGCAGCTAGCCATCAAGCCACAGTTGAGGACACTCAATATCGATTTAGACGAATGCCGTTTGTTTTGTCTGAAGCATTATTTACATTCCGGCGCTTGATGCTTCATTCGACGAATGGACTACAGAATGTTGGTGTGCACGGAGACGAGGTGGTTGTGCGTATCAGTTCGAGGTAAAAGCAGACAATTCACCTGGAGATTATACTGCAGTAAATTCAACGCTACTGCGATTAATTAAGACAAGACTCAGTTTGATTGAGGTGACACGGTTCCGGCGCTTGATGCTTCATTCGACGAATGGACTACAGAATGTTGGTGTGCACGGAGACGAGGTGGTTGTGCGTATCAGTTCGAGGTAAAAGCAGACAATTCACCTGGAGATTATACTGCAGTAAATTCAACGCTACTGCGATTAATTAAGACAAGACTCAGTTTGATTGAAGTTTGGTGACACGGCTGGGGCATAAAATGGGTCACAGAGAGGTCAACCCATTTTCAGAAAATCTGGCGAAGACCCGGGACTGTGCAATCCTTGATTCGAAACGGTCCTTACGGCAGTTTCTCAGACAAGCAGTATGCTACAGCCGGTTCGTCAAGAATTGCAACACGATTGCTGCTCCACTATAGGACTTGCAGCATCCAAATAGAATTTTTGAATAGAAAAAAATGTGTACGAGTACTCAGAAACTGACCCTCAAACTGTACGGGGTCGGGGAGATGTTTACTGTTGCCAAGGGTGCTAGCGGCCTCGACATCGGTGCGGTACTTAAGTAAAGTGGGCCTATCAACTGTCAGTCACATCCTGAATAAAGCTAAGCAAAAGTACTCAACCTTTGAGAAACAATCATTAGTGATCCTCTGAGCCCCGGACAAGTGGAGGCTATACTTCCTGAACAAAAGTTTCCGGTTGAGACCGACGAGGACCACCAGAGATCTTCTCAGGAGAGTTTGCGCGCTGGGCACTTTAGTCATAGGCGTGAGCATTCATAATCCGGCACGTGTCAGTGAAGGAAAACTACCTGGCCATTTGGTTGCTTAGACCGGAGGCTTGAAATGAAGCCCGAAAATTCGTGATTGGCGACAATAGCCTTGTTATCGAACTGGATCCCGGAAAGCTGGCTGAACTAGCTATTATGAGTGAGAGTATACTTTTTTGTGGAGTAACGTAATGGGAGATTTGTTTTCTGCTCCGCTTGGCAAAATCCTACTGATGAATTTGATGTCAGGCCGTTTGCAAGCAAAACAACCCAACGGAACACCTGTTTCTAAATTTTAGACGAACATAGTGGAGGTAAATGGCACCCACGCCTTCAGGTAAATATATCTTTCGTGGTATTCGACAAATGACAAGACCAAAAGATGAGAATGGGATACGACACGAGCAACAGCTCAAGTTGATCCCACAAATGTCATTCGGAACCAGGGCGCTCTACATCGAACAATTTAATCCGGCAAAAATATAGGCTAATGAAAAGCATTATTTTGGATACACGAAAAATTGGCTGATTTAAATGCACCGCAGAGACCAGACAGCACTTAATTAGGTGATGTAAACGACGTGTTTGACGGATTAATGGCAGTATATTTTGTCTAGATAAAAGCTAGTCATCCTGCTGATCAACCGTTCGTGTCCGCACGCTTTGGCCTTCAACTAGTAACCGAGTATTTTTAATATAATTCTTCCTGAAGGTTCGTGAGATGTACACAGCTGATTGCTGCCAACAAATCCGAAATACCTGCGCGACACTTCTAGGTTAATGGGATTGGAGTGAGTTCAATCATAAAGCAAAAACCCAATCAGATCGAACTAATCGCACAACTTCGGGAGATTTTGATGCAGCTGGGCCGTACCATGTGTCATCGATTCTGGTTAATTCACAAGGCTTTACTTATCCTCCACTATATTTGCTCTTAGTTACTTATATTGCTTCTTATATTACTTCGTAGTTTTTAGTAAGACGTCTTAACTGTTTACAAGCTTTTGAACTTGGCAGCGTTGTTGCTTTGAACGTACTGGTTTTAAAGACCAAATTGAGTGTAAAATATGGAGCTCATGAATGAGTTACAATCATGAAAGTGCAAATGGGTGCCACAGATGGTTCGCACAAAGTCATCATGCTTAAACACCATATTCCCAATAAAAGTCATTCCTTTCTGTTTGATTTAGTGCGCCTACTAGCAGTCTGATGGACTCTTGTTTGCTGGGTGTAACCGTTGATGCGGCAAATCCACAGCTTTGGCATACGCTTGGTTAAATTGATGGTCCCCGATTATTACCCATTCGAACAGTTATTGAGCAGTAAATGCTGACAGTGCATGTAATCAAACTAAATGCCATAAATAGAACAAAGTCCATGGATAAGTTCTTGACCACTTACTTCGTAAAAGATCGCAAGTATATATTCCTGGAAGTTCGGATGAAAATGTATAATAAACCTCAAGGAAAAACTTAGATTTTCTCTCAAACTCCCACAGTTCACTGAAAAGCAAGTAGGTCTTCGCTGCGGATTTGTCTATTAGAGAAACACAAACTGAACAGTTTAATTCTATTGGACAGGGTCGCGAAACTCTCCTATGCATCTTGTTTACTAAACTGAATAACCATCTTCGTCTTGAACGCGTCTTCCTGAATTTTCTTGAATATTCAATGACTAATGCTCAAATGCTAGCAAATGCAGCTCCACAAATTCCGTACCAGATCTCATTTTTAAGGAGACGGGAAGCGGATTTACGAGAGAACACTACTCGTATGCCTCGTCAGTAGTATCCTCCATTACGCTAGTATGACCCCACGTAACTAGATTTCGAAAAAATCTGCATCATTTTGAAAATCAACTCAGATTTGGTCCACTACCCAGTTAAGTGCTGGTTTTTTATATTTTTCGTCAGGCATAAGTGCAAATGAGATCTCTACGCACCTGGCTACCAGCAGCACTCTGCGTACCCACGTGGTTTGATATATTTATCTATGTATTTTAGAATGTTCTGCACTCAAAACTACCGCAGTGGCAGGTTTTCGAATGGTGAAGACAAGTTTGTAGATGATTTCCCAAAGGAACAGTTCCAATCTAGGGCAATTTATCTGAACAAATTTCATCAAATTAGAGAACAAGCAAGCTCAGATCGGAAACAAATTGACTTTTGAAAACCATCGGGAAGCGGTGATGTTTACTGCCTTTCGCCCAAAAAAAACGTAACAAGCTAAATGCGAGTTCCAGTTTGTAGATGGATGGCCAGCAGAAAACGTGACTCCATCCTCCCTTTTCATCGTATGGTGAGCGTACCGGAATACATCAGTTCTCGGTTGCCAACTGAAAAATCTATCAAAGTGTAGGGATGTGGATCCTCGAAGAACCATGTAACACGTGAAACCTATTCTTATGTAAATTCACGTTATGAGCCGATGTTGTCTTGGTGTGGGGACTGTGATAACTTGACGCCATTATATTTACCCATGCAAAAAATGTCAGATGAATACGTGTTCTGTCTCCAGCGCTAATGTATGGCCAAGTCAATAAGTAGTCTCACAATGCGCTTAAAGCGACATTCCTGTACTGCTTAGTGAATGGTGAAAAAAGCTGCGATTCCAAGCGCTGAAATACATTTTGACATCTGTACCTGTGTCTTTTGTCCTTGTAGTCCAGAAAGAAACACAGAAAAAAGTGACATTTTAAAAAAGAATAAAAAGACCGCTTTGGAAATCGTAGTCCCAGGGCCATGGTAGTAGCGCGAAACATGGTATTCGGATGTGTTTCTCGAAAAGTCGTAAATATTTACCAAAATTGTAAGGTTTTTCTTACATATTCTTAAAAACCGAACCAACGAAAAGTTGGACAAAATAGCTTTAGGAAGGCTCGCATGCTGGAAACTGGGACCCACTAAAAGCCCGTATATTTGTACTCACATTGGTGTTCCTTTCAGATATGTTCAAAAGAAACAGCTGCCTCTAAATTTTTTGAACGTGGTAAATTATTTCTCGGCGGTAACGGTCCATCCATGAATTCTGAAAAATCATTCCAAAATATTCAGATGGAAACCAAGGAAAATTGCAATCAAATCATAAAACAATGCATATTCTACAAATTTGTCTCAATGGTGCAGAGTTGGTGCCAAAACGAGGTCTTTCCGGGTTCCAGGACTACAACAGCTTACAGCAGATTTCCGATCAAGAACCGGACCGTATCGTTCCAAACTACATGATTAACTCATGAAAAAGGACTACTTAGCGTTTTCTACCCCTCGCAACCATACGCACTTACGCTTGGTCGCAGGCTGACATCGGTCGCTGAGTGCGTTTACTAGCAGTAAGAAAGCACGCAACTTATTAGAAACGGTCCATGAACTAAATCAAATGGAGTCTCATTTGTCATAGGCAATGAGGTCCTTTTGCCTTGAACGCGCTTTGAAAACTTGGTGTCCAAGATTTAAAAGGCCTCCAGAATGGAGGAAGGAAACAGTACTTGATCGTAGATAAACAAGAAAATTTAACGTGTCCCCGTGGTTCGGAATTACAGTACTTTCAAGTTTTTAAACTAAGATTATATTGAGAAAATTTTATTTATTCAAATACTTTGGGTTTTTAAATAACTGCTTACAAAACCGTTGTGAAACAGTTTCTTCCTCACTTGTTTCCTCCGGAATTTATCACCTTTTTCATACTACTGTTTCCAGACAACTGGTGAACATGGATTTCCCGGGTCTCCTAACGCTTGCCCCGCAAATCTGTTGACAGCAACGGAACTCTCGACATCGCCCCCTACCTGCTCCACTGGACAATTAGAAAACGGCAGTCTGCAAGTTGTTACCACATGCCCTCAGACCTTTGGTATTCCGGCTGATTCGAACACATCACTAACGGTTATACAATCCGGTCGGCATTCGGGCATGGTTGCAGACCTTCTGACTGGTGAGTGGTATGTATACCTGTGTGAGAAACATGTGCGAACTGAAGGTTTTATAGCAAAGGATTACATTCTTTGCTAGGATGTAAACTCATCCAACGGTGCAGGTCGTTTAACTGCGGAGGTATCCTTGAGTCCTACATACAGCTGGCCTACCTCATTACAGATAATCGGAAGTTTCCACCGGACCAGGATTGTTTGAACTCATGATCAAATTTCGATAAGTATCCTATATTCATAAAGCATTATGAATCGCACCGGCTTAATATATACTCTTTCGTTGGCAAGCGAAGTGGTTGGTCGGTGGCGAAATCTGCCTCACGGATTCATGAAATGATCTCATCTCCAGCCACTCCAGCAAAACTTATACAACTTTCCAGGCAGATTAATTATCCACCGTTTTGATTGCGTAGTCTGAGAGCAGAAGGTTCTTGTTTGATCCAACCCAGCTTTCTAACAGCCCTTTACAGGTTGCATGTGTGAAGTACATACCAAACCGTCGGGCAAAATTTATTTCGGCTACTTAAAATGACTTGCAATTTTGAAGAATGTAAGCCAAGGAAAGCAAATCACCCAAATAGTCAGTGTCTGTGAGCGGCCTGAATTGTTTTCTAGTGTGTACAGCCAATCAGTCAGGCCAACAATTCTGCAAATTCAAAACTTCAATTAGTTTCGCAGTTCATTTTTGATAAATTCCGTTTTTTGAGCAGCTGATCGCATCAACCTAAACAGAGCGTTCCTATTTTTTGCAGCCAAAAGCACCTTCATTCTCTGAGCTTTTGAAGTTGATTGACGTTCTCTTATTCTTCAAACTCTAGGTTATCCGATGTTTGAAGGACCAGGTATGGCAGAAATAATGTCGAGTTATTTCTGTGTCCCGGCAGATTTGCCCGGACAGATGGTTATAAATCTGAGAACATTTTAGTTCACTTATCAAAGCCGATTACCTATCTCGAGAAGACTCATCTCTAGCTTCACAGCTGCAGTCTGAGAGCTGTAGGCTCACATGTCAAACAACATCGTTTATACAGATTGAGACCAGACATAACTAAGCCATAAAACCGCATAGACAGAAATAGCAACCTTACAGCAACCGTCCAACCATTTATCTAAGTTCAGCTCATCTGAAGAGCATTTAGCTCTTGAGCTCTGTGTGAATTCTACATCATTGATATCATCATGGAGAACATCAGATATCTGGAGTGTTAAAGCGAACTATCTGAGCCCATCCTAAGGAGTGATACCCGCCTTGATCGTCCGAGGCAAAAGCCCGACCAATGGGGCAATGTATATCAGAGTTTTCTTGGGAGACCGAGTCCGGAATCACTAGGTTACCATTTCGACCCGCTTAGCTGACGCGGAGTGGAATAGTCCGAAACCGCAGGAAGTGGATCATAGCTGTCTCATTCTGGACATTACTACGCACATCAGATGCGTTTGAGGCAGCATCGCTCTTCGGGAAGGTCTTAGTTGTAAAATGACCTTATTAGATAAGTTGATCGCTGTCTCGATCGGCCGTTGTGCAATCAAAGCACGTGATTTTCAGGCCGTTTTCTAGTCACGGTCGCCTGAAAGAGAAAACGCGAAGGATTTTACGCATGGACAGTCTCGTAAAATGGCTATTCGCAGTATTGCCGCTCACTGCGGTTTGTCCCACTACTTCCCCTTGACCTTCCCGACATTGCTGTACCCTGCAGAACGAAAGCTAAACCGATGTAGCCTGCGCGATCGTTGCAGTACTCAAGTCCGACCAACTTGTGTTGGTAATTTTTGTTTGAATGATACCCTATATGGAGCACCCAATCAAGTTTGAGGTCTATTCAAATTATTCTATGCCTAGTAGAGATATAAAGAAAGAATAACTTTCGTCACTGATTTTAGATGATACATTGTGATGGGAATACCTTCTGTCCGAAGGTTTACCGGTATTCTTGTTGCCTTTGTGAGTACTCTAAACATAGCCACATCTACCGCTTCACTAAGTTGCTTGTTGCTGTGATGGATCGAGGTGGCCTTCAGCTTTTGGCACAAAGACCGCTGGTAAATCATATGTAAGGTAGCTGTAGGAAAATGCAGTGGTGTCGGTAGGGAGAAGAAAAAGATTAGGGGAAATTTCACGTGTTTTGTTAACTAATTTCCGGGTTGTTCCTTCCACAATGCGCGTAATTTATTGTACCTATTAAAAGCAAACACTTGCCCAGGCATTTTCCAACCTTCCAGACGTTCCGGTCAAGCGATTTTCGTGAAGCAGCGATTTCGTCGTTTTACAAGCAACTCAAATAAACACGACGTTCGGTTGCCTATCTAGATCCAACTGTGAGCAACAGGGTCCTGCTACCGCTCACGGTAGAGAGAATTTAAGCAGGAAAACTATCCAAAGGTTAATTAATGGCCAGGCAAACTTTCGCCTTTGAATTCAGGAATGCTCTGTTTTTCAATTTTTCGCTGATTGCAGTAGGTCGATCCGCAACTAGGTTTACTGGTTACCACAACCAACTGATCAAAAGGGCCCGACTAGCGTCACAGTGCTTGCAACAAAATGAGATGGGTCTGCCAGTAGACACAGGTAGTGTCCGCAAAACACAACAGACCTAATTTATATCGCCTTGCGTAATTCGTAACTATTAAAAAACTGTGTAAGGTCAACAAATGCTTTATGCTAGTAGAGGACACCATTGCTCAACGGTGTCCTTGTGCAAAAAGTAGTTCTCTTCGACCCACACTCATCTAACGGGCGAGTTGGACCAAGTGGTTAGAGCGCGACTTCACTGACCGAAAGGTCTGTGGTTCGAATCCGACCTCTGCCTCTCGACTTCCCCTGTCTGGGTTTGGACAAATTGGCAGTATCCCAGCCCTCGTGCTTCCTTCTGGGGGTATGGCAGTTAGGCACCGAAAGGTTGCTACAGCTGAACGATCACGATCTACATCCATCTAACACAATTCAGTACGATGAGTCTGTGCGAAACGTTCTTTTTCAAGTAGCGTGCTTCGTTAAATGACTATTTTCGCAAAATATGTTCATGTCCAAAAACAGAGATGAATGGAAAGTGGTCCCAGACACCAAGACTGCTGCAGAACACGAATGCGACAGTCACAAACTATCAAAGACGAAATCATACACCTCATTTGCACAGAGATTTTGATAAGCTCAGAAAACTCAAGCGTACTCCCGAGCAATCCTGGATATTCCTTAAATATTCAACACAAATAAGCAAACGGTTTGTTAGTTTCTAAGTCAGCCTTCCAGTGAATGAAGGAACGGCGCTTCAAACCGTACACGTTTCGTCAGTAGTATGCACTACTTCACTGGTAGTATCTGAAGTGTTTGAGGATAAGTACGGAAGCAATTCATCCGCAGTTTCTTGTCAGCGGCCGTAAGTACAACGAATAAACCTTACTAAAAAATCCTTCCTCAAAAATGGTGCATCAATGTGAACATGTCTATGCTTTTGTTGAACTTTGCGATAACATTGGGCTTACCTACTTTCCTCGGTGAGCATATGCCTTCATGAGCCACTCCTCTTGACTTCATATTTGCCTTTCCTCCATTTATGACAGATAATTTTTTATCTATGAAAGTAGTTGGAATAGCTGGTTGTAATACTTTGTAGAGTGACAAGCTTGCTGTAGGAGAGTAACTAGTCAGAATAAACACGTCATCTTGTGCTCTCTGCATAAAACATTTCCATAAATCTGGAGAAGTTAAAGCATTTCACTGTGAAGCATCGTCATAGTGTGCAGCTTGAAGGCTACACGCTCCCTGAAAGATCACCCATCTTACGAAGCCCAGTAACTTTTAAGGTGATCTACACACATACAGATACCAGATGATAAAATATCTAGAAGCAGGCACTGCTCATCCTCAAGCGCTCACTCGCTTAATATGATTAACAGCTAACCGCAAAGCGACGAGTCCCTAAGCGCAGCCTTGTGGAACTCTACACTGTCCAGCACTAGCTGGATGACAGTGTAAAGAACCTCTGTCCAGGTGATCGGGAGTTAGTGCCTCCCTAGATGTTTTAGTATATGAACCAACAATGATTCCCCACACAGACCAATCAGCCATAAGGGTCAGTAAGCGCCTACCCTACGTGTAAGATGAACATCGCATTTTAATTTGGTTGGCATGACCACAGGATCACTATGCTCACATCATTTGCTTCGTCAATATTTCTCCTTCCATAACATAATCATTCCTGTTAGTCCATACCAAACTGGAAGGAAGCTCAACTTCACTTCTGGTCTTACTAATCCCCCTTAGTCGCGCACGCATTTCACCATACCACACAAGAGAAAACCGTGTTATCATCGCTTGATCAACAAGGTCCGTACACAGCCGAATTATCATGCAGACACAAAAACCCATGCTTCTAGTTCTACTTGCACCTTCCGGAGTCCGAGTCACATTTGTAAACTGTTAGTAATGGCATCCCCATCACAATAAGCTAATTTTTTCCCGATGATTTGTCCATCTTCTTTGTAGTTCGGTAAATACACCCAACAGTAGTTAGGTACTTCACATCAGACCTGACAAATAGGTCAGTTGACTCTCATTTTATATGGAGTGTTGGTCGATTTTGGCCTCGCGTCACATATCACTTTATTTATACATAAATAAATAAAGTATATACATTGAAGAACGGGTTCTGTTAAAGAGCGTTTACTGACATGAGGGAAGAACCTCTGTCGTATCTATAAGCTATTCAGAAATTGCAAAGTTACTGAGTAGTACTGGTGGTTTGTATTGTGAGTAAAACGAAACATGCATCAAACTAAGCGGTTTATACAACTTCCTCACTTCAGAGACGATTCAATTACCGGCGACGATTGGATATTCTGAATTTTCGTCACACCCAATCCCAATGTTTGGTGCGTTGTGCTCGCCCCACTTTGCCACCGGAACTATTCATAGTCCGACATTCAATCCACCAATATCTCCCATGTCTTTTCCTGAACTGACCTTGAATCCAGGCCTAATCGGGTTCTATGCCAGTCAACCGGCCATTTCCGGTTTGGGGACGAACATGACGAACCTAATTTATCAGGGAATCCCCAATCTGTTGCGAGCTCCCAACCCAACCTCTTCAACCACTAGCACAACTGCTGCCACAGCGGTGGATGAACCGTCGACATTTGCTCAAAACGGGACTGATGGAAGTCTAGATTCACCAGATGTACGACCTCTTGTCCCGAATTTGAATGACGCATACGCGAATAACTCACTCCTATCCTTGGTACAATCCAATGCATTTTTGCACGCAGCTGTGAACCTGCCCCAGGGACCGAACAATCACGTGCCTTTTGTACAAAATAAGGCATCGCTACTTGGGTTGCCCGCCTTTCCCTTGCCATTCTACGTTGGCTCACAGAACGCTGCTTTTCCTCTCTCAGCCAATCTTACTTCAGCAATTACAACCACTACGGAAGAGCCTGTCACAAGAGAGATAATTATATCCAATGAACTCATCGGGTGCATAATTGGTCGGGGAGGAACAACGGTAAATGAAATACGGAACATCTCAAAGGCTCAAATCAAAATATCAAACTGCGAAGATGGAGCTAAAGAAAGAAAAATCACTCTTTCTGGACCACTGCAGGCAGTCAATCTGGCACAATTTCTCATTAACAATAGGTAATTTGACATGGCAGTGATGTAGTTGTCGATTTTTTCTAGTATCCTGGCTGTTTACGCCCAAGAGGCATGTTGCGACATAAGGCTTGAGCAAATGAGTTAAATCAAAAAAGCACACAACCCGCAGACCTAATATTTGAATTCTGTATTGGGAGCAGCGCAGATTTCCACAGGTTGCTTTACGATCTAGCCACGTTCAGTCAAATTAAACGATTGATAAGTTGATAACTGGTAGTTCTTTTTATTACTCTCCATGAAGTTCAACACCTCTAAGTTGATCCGTATTTTTAATCACATGAAGTGAATTATACTTTTGAAAATTCAACTAATTGCCAAAAATACGACCAATATTTTGTGATTAGCTTAAAAGCGTCCGAAATCCACAGAGTAACAAGGGCTGGGTCAGAACGGAGTGAAAGTATTCAACGAGCATTTTTCAGGAAAAATGGCTAATCTAGTTATTTGGCTGGCCAATCCACTGCAACTTTGATGCACTTCAGTGCATTTGAGGTGAAAATCAGAATGACGGTTGACTTCTTTCATAATTGTTTGGTTCACATTAGCAAGCCTAATTTATTTACTCCGTTGTTAGGAAAACTGAACGCTGGACATCTTTGCTGCGTGATGTCTGAATTATCCAGATTGAGGAATTCCATTAACCCAACCTATCATATGTGTTTGTTCGGGCTCTGAGACAGTAGCAGATGACTCGTAATTAGTTTACTGTTTGAAACTCAGCGCTCAATCTGAGTATGGTGAAACGCTTGATCAGTCAGGGTGTATTCGGTTGTCCAGAACGGACTGAAGTAGTTTCTCGGGCAACAGTTACATATTTATGGTATAACGCCGCAACGAACTTGTGCAATGAATCTAACTGATTTGTATTTGCGAGAAAGATTCGGAAGGTCGTTTTTACCGATTGGGATTTTACAAACTGGATCGTACCATACCAACAAGCAATTGTGTTTGTCCGAATAACGTTTTTGCAAAAGTGTGTAGCAAGTGGTGTGTTCGCTGATTCGGGCTATTTGATTGCATACGTTTCATCCCCAACCCGAGGTGACATCATCCGTGCGTTGTTAGAAGGCGGGGTGGAGCGCAGCGATGGGTTAGTGATTGTGCGTTGAGTAGTGTTGCCTGTGTGTTAATGTACGTGCTCCTGGCCGGGGCTGACCTTCGATCACGGTTAGTTGGCCGGTCAGGTGGTTTCATCGGTTGCTTTGTTATCCTTTGTCCCGAGTGCCATTGTAGTTAGGAACACGTATGGCACTTGTGACGGAGCATGCAGCTGAAATGATACGCGCTACCAATATTAATGTCAAGACGTGTAAACATGGTCCAAAACATCTACTTGAAAAATTACTTAGTCCTGGCGCAAACAAACATCCCGCGTAAACAGTGGAAAACCTGTCTTAGATTATACCGTACTAAACCAGATAAACTAAAAAACAGCAATTAATCAATAGCCACAAAAATTTACTGAGTCTCCTCTGCACTCGGTGCCTGCATCTCATGTAAGATATTTTTTCTTTGTAATTCGCTTAACACAAGTCTTCAGCTCTCAGTCCCGAGAATGTGTAGCTTCTGGTATTCCATATCCCGATTTCAAAACGTTCAGCAACTCCGATACTTGATATTCCCCTGGAATAGGAAGTAATAAAGGTTCTAGTCCAGATGCGTGAACAGGCCCGCCAATCGAGGGACATTTGTTGCTGTTATTACTTCGAATGGCTCTAGGTTTCTAAGACCACAACTTGAGGGCACGCCAAATGGTTATGAAAGCTGCACATTGTGCCGACATAATGGCTATTACAGCCGTCTGATTTCACAATATTTTAGCCAATTACTTACGCTCATGATGAATGCTGCACAAACTAACTCCGGGTCGGTATTAGATCACAGCTTACCACACATTTTCTGTTATGTTCCCTTGCATTGTTGCATGTAGCATGTCACACACAGACTAAGGCATTCTTTCCCGTTAGTATAACGTTGCACGTGATTGCAGCATGAACTACTAGCTCTTATACTGCTTTATTTCATTTCCTTGCCCCCTCCATTGCTTGTTGCCCAAATCCTCTGTGTGTGATCGACTGTGGGAATTGAAGTATTTTGGCACATCAACAAATGTGGGCTTTCAACGTCCAGCTAGCTTCGGCTGCAACTGCCCTAATGATGACCAGCAAGGAGCAGACAACCGGGTCGTCACAACCAGGCGAACATACCGTAGGGTGTTTACCTTCAAAGCAGCTGTCGGAATCGAATCCTATCTCTCCCAGCTATACTTACTCTCTATCGCCAAAGTCAACCAAGGATTATGAGCAGACGCTGAACATGGCAAATCTGCTTGTGCAGCCTCAAGATCTTCAAGGGCACACAACAAGCGGTGTGGGTAACATAAAGTCTAATTACAAGTCCTCGAATTTGTCAAGCAGTTTAAAACGCCCACGAATCAAATATGCTCCGTATTAATTGCATGAATACTGAAGACATTTTGCGTTTGCGTTGATTTGGCATGGTCGGCGTGTACAAACAACACAATTTTAAAACACGTGAATGCAAATTTCAGCAACCCACTTGTGAAGACTACTCTTGTACGTATTAAACAAGATTTGAGTCCACTGTTAATGCTTCTATGCCGTTGTACCATAATCATTCACAAGCAAATACACTATTTTCTATTATTAGTCATTATGAACACCATGGTTTCCAATAAGTCATTCGTATTTTGCTCAATGTTATTTTCTCACACTTACCCAATTGATTTCAGAATATCTGCGGAATTGTTTGCTGGAATGGTTGCCTTCATTAATCAGTAACTGCCGAAGATTGGAAGAGACAGGGATGAAGGACGTGCAAAATGAAACCTCCTATGAATTGGGACAGCAGCTCCATAGGCATCAGTCTCTGCTACCCTGAGTTTGTGAATTAGGAATGTAAAATACGGCGAGGATGGTAACTTTAGGTCAGCTAGTTCACTTGTATGGAAGTTGTATGCATATGCACATCCATTTGGTTGCCATATCTATGTTTAAATCGTTTTCTGTGAGTTACTATTTTTCCTCTTACTTCTTTCTGTAGTTTACTTGCGTACTGAGGCTTCCCACTTTGGGTGTGTACGTTTTGCGGTACGTTTTTTGCACAAGCACATCTTTGATACACGAGACTAATGTTTCAAGCCGCAGTGACTCCTTGGTCAACGTTAAAAAACATTGATATTAAACGTCTTGTATACAAAACATTCAGACTGTCGTTTACAAACAAATACAGGACGATTGCTTGTTCCAATGTATCCAAACAAACTGCGTTAAAATCAGCAAGTGTTCCGAGTGGCCAGATTATGCAACATCGCCCATTTGATAGATCATTCAAGTTATATAACTCATACAACCACCAATCGAAACTGCTCTTTGTGATCTGATTGAAATTCGCCAAGCTTTCCAACGGTGGATAGACCATCCGGCCATCAATATATTGAAAAATTGACCTTACGTACATCCACTTGTTGGATGATTTCACAAGTGCCTCGCCCGGCGCGACCAACGCACACAAACCAAATATGCTTTTTGCATCTTCTTTTTTCTGTTCTTCCGAAACAGTTGTTTTTACTATATTTTTGTCTCTATGAGATATTGATTTACTATTAGTCAGGCGTCATTAGATTTCTCCAGACATGATCACTTTATGCACATATGCATATACTTGGCTCATATATTTGTCGATTAGTGGATATTTGTGCTTTGAATTATCTTTTCAGAGGGAGGGTTTTTCAGGAAAAACTGCTCGATTTTGGACAGTATCAGTTTTTATCCGTTAGAAAAAACTGGTTTGGGAAGCAAGCTGAGGATCGTGCGAACCAATGATGGTTGCGATTTGAGGAGCTTTCGAAAGTACACCTGCATGTTGTGCACTGTCTCATCGGAGCAAACTAGCTGAGGGAAAAAGTGTGGCTGTGGCAGGCAACTTTATTCTTGCTTTGATCAAAATAAAAATTTAAGATACTCACGGGCATATTACATGTATACGGTGGTAATGGAATGGGGCGAGAAATTCATCTGGGCGAAATGCCAGTCATTCGTCGAGATGATTATGTGACATTTGGAAATTCCCTTTCACAGGCTCATTCACGTGACAAATTTTGATGGCATGAACATGTTTTCTATACGAGGTTGTCTCTTCATAGGTTAAGTGGCTGCCGTGAAGCATGCAGCTGAGATATTTCAGGTGCCTCAAACCACATTTATGCCCCAGCAGCGCATCGCGCATGTTAATCCGTGAATAAGATACACTGGAGTTACATGACTAGACGGAGGACAGAGAGGTTTGAACCCAAACCCGGCATCTCGAGTGCTCAGTTATCCTAATCCTCGTACTCCTTTCGGGTGGTACGGTAGCCAGGAGCCGATAGACTGCTGCACTTGATCGGTTTACCCATTGGTTCACAGGGCTGATGTGTTTACTGCGTGCCATCTCATTGTATACAAGATTGCAGGAATAGTACTGGAGTCACCTAGCTAATTTCCCATTGGAATCGAAAGACCAGACAAGTGCTCATGGAGGACTAGTTGACCACATCCACAAAAGAGCAAATGTAAATTTGTAATTTGTGGCTTGAAATGTGTGGATGTGTCGTGCGTTTTTTCGTCTACAGCGTCGCTATTCTTTGGGCTGCCACGAATGTCCCTACGTTTGACATCAAAAACGAAAGCATATGTTCCTGTCAGTGTGATTTTTCAAAGGACTGTACAAGCAGATAATGGTGCTGCCAAAATAAGTACTCTGGTTTAGGAGATTTTGACTCATATCACTCTCGAAATTTCTGAACGAAACGCTTTCCTGGTAGTAAGGAAAAATATGCACGAATTAACTTGCGGTCCAGTTTTGCTGCTCAACTACGGAGGTCAACTTTTTAGCCTTTCATTATCACGAACATGAGTTTCTAGGACCAACTTGTGAAAAGTAGCTAGAACACTTTAGTATCTTGGTTGGGTGTACAAGTATAATACACCTCGGAAAAATACTAGCTGATAAACTGGGCAGTGCACCCAAACAAACCGACACGTTTTGGACGTTTGCCCTGAACACAGTAAAAACTCCTAAGAAGCAAAGTGAAAGCGGATACTTGTGAGACGAAATTTTCCAACGGCAAGAATGTGCAAACGTCGGGGAAATTTTTGTAGACAATCCAACCAACGTCATCACATTTCGGTAAAGGACTTTCTTTAGAGTAGACGCCGAAAAGAGCATTCTCAGTGCATTCTCAGTAGCTAAATAAAACTAAGACTTGAAATAAATGATTTCTTTAGCAGGTGTAGATAGTTTATGCTGGACAGGATCGGTAATAAAATCTTGGCGTTTTGGAAAATTTGACGACAGAGCACTAATGGCAACAGTTTAGTACTTATTTTGGTTTGATTCGCATATCTGTGTTGGGCTGTAAAATGCCGAATTCACAAACAGCTACATTCACATCATTTTTCATCGCTGGAAGAGTAGCAAGCCATCGGGTCATGTACATAAAAAGTGCGAACAAATAGCCCCACTTGAACCTATTTTTGGAAGCAGTGTTGAAAGCTCCGCAAAATAGCCATATGCAATAAAACGGCCCACCACCCGAATCTCGAACAAGTTTTGGAATTTATTTCTCTTCACATTCATTGGTGACAAGCTCCAACAGTAATCTTCGATTGACGTCAATGCATTTTTATCATCCACAAACAGTAGGCAAATGGCTATCCAGTCCGAAATGTTTGAGTTCATAACCCAAATGTTTGTGGAAAAGCAAGCGATGTATCGCCAAGCGATACATTTTCCTTCCGGCATACTTTACCTCAAACCGCCATTCGATTCCTTATTTTCTTGTTTTTACCGGACTCCTTAAACAGAATTTGCCGAAATCTGCCATGCCTATTGTATTTATGTAAATGGTTTGGGAGATTTTTAAACTAAAGTTGGCGTTTTTGTTGTTTAGAAGCCGAGATAAGATAAACTAAAATATCTTGGAGTTTACACGGATCAATGAAACCAGCCTGCACATTCATGCGTGAGAACAAATCCACAATTTTTTTGCGCATAGAAAGTTTAAAAATAATGGCAATCTCCTCACACAACTTTGAGGCAAAGAAACCTATTGGAAAAGTTATTAAGAGTCAGCTGGCCTGTCGTGACAACAATCTGAAATAGATTCTTGTCTTACGTCAAATTTAATAACTAAGTAATTAACGACTATCCTCGTTCTCGTTTACGAAACTTTACTAGAAAATATCGTTAAGCAAAAAGGCTTCCTTGGTTTGCAAGCTGTTGTCTGTTGTGCATATTTTTCGATATATGTGCGAACTTTCGTAGCAGAGACGTTTTCCAAGGTGAATATGAACCTTTGGCTTTTGTCGTGGCTGACTGATCCTCAACAAAGCTAAACAAGAGTAAATTACAATGATTTATTGACTTGACCCTGAACGTGAGCGGATTAAATATGGGAATTGGTTCGACTACATAAAAAAAGAATCTACTGTGAAATTTTAAAACAAAGTATCATGGACAGTAGGACTGAATTGTGCGTAAAATAAAACAACTAGAACATTTTACTACATGTGGACTGTATGGATCGTATGTCATTCATGAGTAAATCAATTATTGTGCCCCGTTCGTTCGATCTTTCATCGTAAGAAAAAATTTGCTTCAAATTGCTAGGGAATTTAGTTGCTTTGGTTCTTCTAATGCCACTTGTGTTACTATCATGCTGTTTAGTGTCCCCGTTGGGAGAAGAAACGTGTTGAGTTTATCGGAGATAAATGACCGGGGTAATCTAAACGGGCCTGGAAACTTGAGTTATTTAAGCAAACTGTCGCACGTATCCCAGTTCTATTAACTGACGCCAATTATGAATTGACAGAAAACGGAATCCTGGGGCAACGGGATGTTCTGCTAAACAACCTTGTTTTGTTGCACGCCTCAAACACTCCAAGTGTTGGCGAGTTGGCTCAAAGTTCATACCGAATTTCTGGTTTGCTTTACCAGCACATTTTTGTGGAATTATGCATTGCTGAACTGGTATGCAACTTGTTCAGCCCACTTTAATCGCTCACATTCTGGATCATAATGTCAACTCGAACCACTTCAAATCCAAGTGAAATCACTGGGTCATAGGTTTTCCCCTATGAGGCTCAGTAGTAGCGCACATACCCGATTGCATCTGCCTTTGATACATTCGGTGCACAATTTATATTGTTTGGTCATGAATGTATTTGAATCAAACAAGACCACTTTACATACGTTCAGACTTTTCTGTATTATGCCAAGACAGAATTCTTCTGATGGCCTGAAATGAACAGTACACTATCCCAAGACGGTGACTTGGGGATGCCTCAAAACATCTTGAAGCTGTAGCAGTAAACTCATGTATAAACGTGTACACTTTCTACGAAAGCTATGAAAACGTTACTGCTAGCTTTTGCTAACATGTAGCTATGTTACTTATCCGTAAAGTTAAAGTGAAGAACGATAAAGCTTACTGCACACACGTGTATGATCACGTGGCATTCATGAACCAGTCTAACCTTAGACTAGCGCGTCGTTTCTCAGAAGACCAAAGTTCATAGCAAACATTTTGCACATAGAACTTTGTCTAAAACAGCATTTTTCAAATTCGTTAAAAATTCTTTCGGTTTTTTAGGGGGAAAATGCAATCTCTCTGCATTTGGCAATCAAGTGAAACATCGTTAAATGAAATAATACCAATTACCTTTGGTCATCCAAAACGTCAACCAGAGAAGTTAGGATGCTGTCTGAATCGGTTTACATAAATGAAAGAGCAACCTGTGTTTTCGTAAATGAAACTACTCACAAAGTTGCTGGAAACTTTTCGACAGCTCACGACCGGTTTCACCCTTTTGGGACTCATCATGTAGGTGCAGTACCCGAGTTTCTGTCAGCCTTATGTTCTAGACGAACTCAAATTGCACAGATTTCAACGAATCGATTCACTTGATGAGTCCTAAATAGGGCAAAACTCGTCGTCGGCTGTCAAAGAGTTTTCAGCGACCTTGTAAATATTTGTTTTCCTCGTGAAAATATAATTCGGTATCCAAAATATCCTACCAACCGAGACTTGACGCGGTCTTTGTAACACATTCAGTCAAAGAATATCACAAACGGATTCAGTTGAATCTCCCGTGAAAACCAAATTTTCTTTTTTTGCGGCAGTCTTTCACGAGCTCCCACACAGTTTCCGGCATCCATCATCCACATCATCCAGAGTGGTTCAGGAACGTCTTAAAAAGGAATCAAAATTTGACATCTCAGGTTATTCTGATAATAGGAGTTGTTGAGTAATTAACTAAAATGTCTAGCTTGTGGGCAAAAACTCCAAGTAGCAAAGTCTGACCGAAGGTTGACTGCAACAATTGACGTCGATAGTGTGTTTTTTCGTCCAAAAATGGATCGGCAGTCAATTCCAAAATACGAGATCAAGCACCATCGTCATAGTTATCAGCTGTAAGAACCGCGTACTTGCCGTGCAGTGGTGGTCCACTGATGATTAAGGGGAGAAGGGTATTTAGTTGCGAATTGGTGGCGGTACCTGATAAATTGGTGCGTAAATACAGGTTTTTCAGTGGACTTTTATATGATGGTTTAAAAGGGTGTTATGCATTGAAGGCAATAGCATGAATGCACAAACCCCATTGAAGGCGCGACTGATCCATGTCTGACAGTGTCTCC